ACCAGAAGAGGTTACAGGTTTGAGTTCTGAAGAGCAGGTCTCTAAAAAAGGCTTTTTGACAAGAGTAGTTATCATTAACAGTTGGTGATTAATTCTTTGCAACACACCTAAACAATAGAGAACTGAATAACAACCAAGATACAAAATAATATGCAAAATGTATAGTTATTTTAAATAACTGTGCACTGTAGATTTATCTTTTAAATATGCTGTGAATTAAACCTTCATTTCCACTTTCTATGTTTCTTTGAAAATGAAGGATTTCTGGTCTTTTATCATTTCTTTTTATCCTGAGATAAAAAGGATACATTAGCTTTCAAGTTACTCCTTAATTTAGTCTCCAGAGGTCAGGGCAGATGAGACAGTACAGACGAGTTTGCTCATCTGCTTGCTTTCTTCTTCTGTAGTTGCCGTTGCATTTTAATGGTTTGACAAAGCAAAACGTGGAACTCTCCTTAAAGAAATATTCCCCCTTTACCCAATATCAAATAACAGGCTTAGGAGAAGCACCAGGGAGGGCCCTTGTCTGTGATAATGGAAAGCAGTCAATTTCCAGCAGAGAGGAACAGTCGCAATATTCTGAGCTCTGTGCCAGCTCTCACTCCCCCTCCCTAGTCTGGCCCTGGCTGCCCTCCTTCAAACAAAGAGTGACACGTTCCTTATATGAATAATTGCATGAAACCTAATTTCACTTTCACTTAGTCGTCCCTGATCTGTGAGATGTGGTTTCAACCCTCCCAGCATGAGGTGACACGCACTATTGACAAGAATCCAGCACCGCCAGAATCTGAATATCAGCCACACCACGACTGCACCCAGGACATCTTCACAGAAAATGATTCATGTTTTTCAAGCAAGATTACACTCGTGCGTTGACCCCACCTGTAGAAAGCATCAAAATCACTTCCGTAATTGTGGACTGACTGGAACAAAGTGCTGACAACTCCTGGTATACAGGAACACCTAGAGTGCACACGTTATGATGCAGATCGGCTGTATTGGTTGTGCCACCTGTGCGGCTGAGCTGGGGAACCTCCTGGTGCCTTGTCATGCAGGTGAGACACCAGCCTGAGGACCTGCTGTCAGAGGCTCTGTTCCCACTACTGATTCAGAGACGCTGCCAGTCTTTGTAATACACTCTGGATTAAAGCATCTGTGAAATGACTAACTGGCAGCACTATAGCATCTTATTTTGTCTAGAGTTTGTGTTATTTTTAACTGTGCTGTCAGGTGTTAGGAGCAGGGAGACACTGGACATCCGTAGTACAACGACCTGATATGACTCACAGCACAGAAGGAACGAACTGGGCTCGACATTTTTTTGTAAGCAGCTCTGAAACAGAGCAACTAGACACAGCAGATCAAAGATCACTCCTTCCTACACCACCAATCATTCACTGGAAACAGAGAAGTAGACTACTAGTCACTGTTTACACTGCCCTGTGCAGCCCACCTCACTGGGTGGGACTGCATGTCCAGGGGAGGAGGGCGGGAGAGGAGCTGGAGTAAGACAGATATTTCAGTTAACGGAATCAGTTTTCTGGCACCTATTGTAGACTGCAGCTGTTTCTCAATCTGATTCAACACACGAAACAATAGAATGAAGGGATTTCTACCACTTAAGCCTAAATCCTGCTAATGCACTGTGCACTAATCTTTCTGTCTAGCTTTCTATTTATATATCTATATAAATCTGGGGAGCACAAAAAGCTTTTAATAAATGCAAATATCTTAATATTTATATATAAAGATTACATTACTTATAAAGTAATAAAACTTTTCAGCCATTTGCCACTATAAACCTGAATCCAAACAGCTTTCTAAGGTAGTAAGATAAAGTAACATGGGAATGAGGAATAATCGCAATCTTGAGAAATAAAGAGCTGAGGGTTTGAGATCCTGACCAAGCAGAAGGCTCATCAGCGCTGGGTCCAGAGGGGCAGGTTCCTCCTCGGGCCGGGGGCTGCCGTGGCCTGGATTCCAGAATCGCTGGCCCTGCCGCTGACGTCAGGGGAGACGACGGTGCTCCCGGATGCTGCGAGTGTCTGAACGCTGCTCGGGTGTGGCCGACTGCTAGGCTAGAGGATTAACACTTATTATTTGCTCATAAGGCTTTACAACCCTGACAGTAAGAGGCTCTGAAACTGAGTAACTAGTCACAGCAGCTGTGCATGCCTGATGCACAGAATAGGATCAATTTCCTCCTTAACATACAGACACATGAACAGTAATGTCGATGTCCTGCTAAAGCTACTACAACTTCAACTGTAATGAATAATTCCTGAAATTAGAATTGCACCGCGACATGTGACAACACAAACAGTCCTTGTGGTCGTGAAGCACGATCCCCAAGATGCCCGAAGAAACATCTGAAACAAGTCCAATAAGCGGCTAGCAGCCAAATCAGTTAGATGGATCTAATGACTTCCTCTCGTTAAAAACCTTAATTAGCTCATAATGACGCATATATACATATACCCCATGGGTAAATTGGCGTTAATTGGCATGTTTGCATTTTTCGGGATGCACGCAAACACCTCCACTGTCCACTCAGGTCTGTGTCAGGACTAACTAACACGGAGCCCAGTGTCTCTTCCCCAGCAACAGTGAGGCAGAGCTCGAAGAGCCAGGGGGTATGTCCTGTTACTGGCCTGCTGGCACTGAGAGCAAACAAGCGAACCACCTGCTGAGACCTCCTCCTCTGGCACGGGCTCCTCCTCTGGCACGGGGCTCTCCAAGGGTCAGCTCTGCATTCACTGCTCTTATCTGGCAATGAACTACGTGAAGCAGCACAGCTCAATTCACATAAATACACTGGCTCTGCCTACTTTTGCTTAATATTGTAAACAAGATTGATAGAGCATGGATTTGAAAGAGTATGTCCATCTGTCTGCCCATATAAGAATATTAATTCAGTGTTACTCAGCAGAATCTTAGCACACTTTAAATTCTGTTTTGTTGATTGACTTGTTTTCCAGTTCATGAAGCAGAACTAAAATTATTTTGAGATAGTTCTGTTTTTAGTCAGACCTAATTGAAATGTAAAATAGTTTTAGAAGATGTGGAACACAGAACATCTGAGAACAAGAGACCCTACTTCACACAAAGTGTAATGGGACATTGGAAGAAGTTATCCAGCTGTTGAAGCTGATACACCCTGGCTTCCTCCAGGAAGAGACTGGATAAGATTCTAGGATCAACTAACTACTAGCAACCAAATGGGCTAGTTATTTCCTCCAACCTTTCTTATGTTTTTGCATTCTGTAGCAGCAGAACTCTTTAAATGGCCAATTGTGGACCTCTGTGCCGTCAAGTTATTCTGCAACAGCAATGAAAGAAACATAAATTTACTTTACTTTGCTTTTTTCCTAAAATTTGCAACAACTGTAAAGGGATTTTTCACAAATAACCAAGTGCCTTATTAAAACCGCACTTTCCAAATGCAAAGACCCGCGCTGGTGTTGGAAGCGAATTCCTCAGGAGCCTCTTTCAGGTGGCTTCTCCCAGATCAACAAAGGAGTGCAGCCATAATTACTGCTCTCTATACAGGCAGGGCTGCCTGCAGCTCAGAAACCAGACGGACTAGTTTGTTTCTAACAGAGAAAAAGGGTTTTGCCTTTCGGTCTATTTATAGTTGGAAGCACAGAAAAGTGTATTTCTCAATACCATATCCTAGTAAAGAAATCACCCAGAATTCTGTGACTCATCTAGCCTTTTCTCAAGCTACTGAGTCCCTCCACTGGGTCACTACAGAAAAACAAACTCAAAGATTTTATCCTGGTTAAGCATTGTTTGCTAAACTTTTCGGACTGTAATTTGAGAGTAAATGTTATCCTTTGCATTATATAAAGCCCATTCACAATATCAATCCACTGTTCAAATGTTTCTTGTGATTGCCCGTTGACTAGCAGCTAGGAGAATTCCTAGTTATGTCTATCTTTTGGATCAATGTGATCAAAGGGAACATTTCCCAGATATAATACAGAGAATTCAAAAGGCGTGACTAAATTTCCTGTCTCATTAAGATCTACTTTAGCTGTATGAATTGCCATTACTGCTGTATCTCCAGGCAGGACCAGAACATGTGTGAGAAGCTACCTGCTCTCCACATGACCCCCAACATCGTGACGTGGTTCCTTCAGACTGTTCTATGCACATGACTGTGACTGACTGTAGGCAACTTTCCCTTGAGCACTCAGAGTTGCCCTTGATAAGCATGTCAGCGAAACCAATAATAAAAGAAAGGCATTAACAAAAAGAGAAGCAGAGGTGATGCCATCAACATTTTATATGACATTATTTTGAATATGTTCAGGTGGGTAGCTGCGTCAGCATGCGTAGGCTGCAAAGGAACAATAGGTTTATTCCATGCTGAAAAAAAGGAAGAAAGAAAACACAACGTTTCGGCCGTGGAGCCTTCTTCAGGTCTCAATTTTGAATATGTGTAATACTGGACAACTGTGCTCTGTTTACAATTCAGTATCTCAACTTAAATCTTATTGATTTAATCATCAAACTTTCATATCGCCATGCTGTAAGAAGAGATTGTAAACTGAAGGTTTTCTTAAATCAACTGATTTTAAAATGGTGATTCTTCAAATACTGCGTAAAAAGCTGACACTTGGAAAATGAGTGACATCCCTAGCTGCTAGATTTATACACACATAAAAGGAAGGCTGGTAGAGTCACAGCTACCACTTAGCAGTGACACATCAGGATGATCAAGTCTTTGCTTTCATAATTTACACAAGACTAATTATATCTAATGAGAAATAATTCCAGGAAGGAAAGACTGACTAAATGGTCTGACTTGAGACAGCAGGTCCTCAAAATCCTAACGAATCCCCACGGACCGTCAGAGGAACAACTCCAGAATGTCCCACAGATCGGCTTCCCGCCCTCCCCCGCCCCTCAAACTCGCATCACTAACCGCTGGTGCAGCACAACCGGCTCACCTGCTGCGCTCGAGCTCATCAGGAATTACTGTTCTTCCTGCTCAGGAGAACCTGAAGAGGCTGAGACGGATGAGGGAGAATGCGCGTGGCCGCCTGAGGGACCCGGAGGAGAGGTGGAGACTGCGGATGAAGTTTCTGACGCAGGCGAAGAGTTACATCGGAACTCCGTACAGCAGGAAGTACCAGGAGCCTGGGAGTAAGCTCCAGGGAGCAGATGTTCCACACCCCTCTTCTAGTAGTCCTCCCACAGTTTACTAAGTTTACTATACAGACCCCATGAATTTGCTTTGTCAGGGTGTGTCACAGCCTGTACTACGTTTTCCCCTGAATCTTTACTGCTTTTACATGGCTTTTACCATGATTGCTTCACTGCAGCCGTGGAGTACGAGTCCCCCCTGTTCCTGGACTGCTGTGGGCTGGTGCGAAAGGCGGTGCGAGATCTGAGTGAGGATTTTGGCTTCGTCATCGGGCCAGGAAACCAGGCCTACCAGTACGACACGCTGCCACTCACCCTGGAGAAGCACGAGGACATGAAGCCAGGAGATCTGGTGTTCATCTCGGGGACCTACTTCAGCCCTCACAGTAACAGCCCTCACACTCCTAGATGACCTCAGCCCTCACAGTAACAGCCCTCACACTCCTACATGACCTCAGCCTTCACAGTAACAGGTCCTCACATGACTTCAGCCCTCATGCACTCCTGGAATTAAAGCCAGAGCAGTCTAGGTCCTGTCCAGGTTTGGCACCAAGCTCAAAGGCACTCCACAGCGGTTTTTAGGGTGTGGCCAGCACCAGGCGTGTAATAGTTGGAACATTCCTTATGAATTCAGTATCCAAAAGCAACCTGGGCTTCACCCAAAGGGCAGGGGAAAGAGCACAACACTGCAGGAGGGTGCATCAGAATCATCAGTCCAGCAGCATGAACTGGGGTGACTCTAAATCTAAACAAAATGGGCTTGGTGCCCTAAAGCACCCCCAAAGTGCTGGGCCAGGTCCAGGTTAAATAACAGCCAACAGCTCAATAACCATGAGCTTCTCTTCACTGTCAAGCAAACCCTGCCAACCTCCCGCAGGAGTCCAGGGGAGTGAAGGGAGAGCGGTAAAGGGTACAGAGTCTGATAAAACAGAAGCTGTTTTCAATCAAACTCTCATGACACATCAAAAACCCTGTTCTGCTTTCTAAAACCTTCATTCATCACATACGGATCCCAAAACCATGGCTACTCCTTTCGGATTGTTCATGTACCGTAAATCTCAGACACAAATGCCAGAGAAATATGTTCCTAAAATGCAAAACAAAATATCTTAAAAGTTTTCCTATGTACAGTATTTAATGTTTCAAATTAAACAAATTATAAAACAATTTGAAATACACTTATATCACAAAGACTGACAGCAGAGGTATCTACTAAATGTTCATCTATCTCATACAGTGATAAATAAGCACTGGCAGAAACTAACAAAAAATTTAGACAAGCTGCAGTTTATTGTGTTAGATTTTTGCTGACAGACAACATAACTGGCACCCTGTCTTTCAAACATATTAATTTTAGGTGTTACTGGCTGGGATGGATAAGTGTTCCATCAGCTTAGAAGAGGTGTCACTGACAAATATGATCAGTTTAACAAACTGTATTTCCATTAATCCACCCATTAGCAGACAGAACATACTGAAGGAGACTCCATACAGCAGGTACCCTAAGCCAGAATCAAACCGACAATCCAAGAGCTGTAAGGCAGCAGAACTAACTCCAATACCATCATATACCAATATGTATTATATACCAATAATGCTGTATTAATTATGTGTGATAAAATTATTTCTGATGAAGGAGGCCAACTTTCTACAAATGCAGGTACTTAATGTTAGCACCCACAGCCTGGTTTGGAAGATCATTTTGATTGAGGGCGCTCTGTGCTGCTCGTGTCACGCCTGTGGTCTGTGGCGCTGTGTTCCAGTGAAGAGGCAGATCCATGACATCGTGCACGTGGAGATCTGGCTGGGAGACGGGGAGGGCACACTGGGGGCGCGCTGGCGCAGGGGCACAGTGCAGGTCTTCGACTCCTACAAGTTCACCTCCTCCTCCTACGGGCATGTGAAGTACCACTTCAAGTCCATCGAAACCTGGCTGTCCGGCAGCTGCATCAGGTCAGTATTTGGTCCTTCAGGGCGCATACATACATGAGACAGGGTGGCTTCCAGTCTCTAATTAACCTCTACACCGCGACCAGCCTCACTTCTACAGCTCATCAGCACTTCTGTTGTGAGGCCCGAGTGTGTACTGATATTCACTTTTGCACATAAAAGAACTGTTTCAGAATGATGTCCTCCAGCTGCTGGTCACCCCCGCTGAATTTAAAATAGTACAGCAGCCACTCTGCTCCAGTAACCTCACTACAAAGCGCTGTGTGGCTGCTCCATGAAATCACCTGATGCTGCTTTTGAAGTGTGTGAGTGAAAGCCATCTTTCTGTGTGAGGTGCTTGTTGCTTGTCTAGGTGCCTCAAAGGGTCAGCCGTTGAAAAGTACAGGAAGCAGGCAGGCACATGTGCCTTACTGCACCAGCACAACAGCACAGGGAACAGCAGAGATTGCAGAAGAGCACTGATGTCCGCTCTCTGCCCAGAACTCTAGCATCACAGGCTGTTTTCAGTGAAGAGGCTGTGTTATTGCAGCAACTGCTGTTTGGCATATACATTGAAGTGAGCAGGTTATGCGTGTGTTTACTAAATGCTGAAGAGTGATTTGAATTAAGACACATCTTTCGATAATTGAGGACCTGCCAAAGTACTTCAACTGCTTGGAAGATCAGAAACAGGTGCTTAGCACTCACGAAGAGAAGACACACAATAATACATAAGAATGTGTGGATGGTTGTTTTTCACCCACAATTCAGAATTATTCTTGTCAGAATGGATTTTCATGGTACCTAAAGCACCTGAAGCTTCTCTACTGGACACAATCTAATCAGCTATACACATGGTATAGGTCAATGTACTGTTTTTATACAAATAACAGGAGCTATAGAGCACTGCTATACTCAGTACTCCAGCGCTTCAGTGCTAGGACAGAGGCTTCATGATATTTAATAATGAATGGCTGCAAGCCCAGTGAAGAGTGACCGTGTGCAGTGTGCACTTCCTTGAGGAAGTTGTCCTACAAATAGTTCTCAGAATCCATCTACAATTAGTAACTGTTGCCACGGCAGCTGTATCCTAGGCGACCAGAAGTTGTTTATGGTTCCCCAGCGCTTGCTGAACACTGTCCTGCATCTCCTGTACTTGTTAAAGAACTAACGCATGCCAAATAGTTAATCTTTCTCCGGGAACCTGTCGGCATTCTTCAGGATCGATGAGGAGTTAATTTGATGTCACCATTTACAAAAGTGCTGTGAGAGCGCAAGAGCTGTAGCTGGGCTACAACAGTTGCAAGCTGAATCGAAGCCGATAGCTGCCAGTCTTGCAGGCAAGTTTAAAAAGTTTCATTTGAATTTTAGAGGGGTCTAAGGTTACTTTTGCTTTTATTTCCATATAACGTTTTTAGACTTTCTACTTTAAAACTAGAAATTTTAATTCAAGGTGGAACTAATTTTGTAATTTACCTGTTAAATTGGTAGGGTGCTGTTTAATTACCTAAAAAAAGCTAATTTACAATGCATAGTGAGTTCGTCTAAACTGCTTTCTCTTCAACATATCCACTCATAACTGAAGAAGAGGCACAAACACAGAAAAGCTGTCTGATGTTAAGTCAGTAATCAAATGCATCTAAACACTGCAGCAGATACAGTAAGAAGAATGCAAGGGAAATTATCTGGAATAGTCTGGAACAATGACCACATTGGACTTAACTGAATTCAGCTCCATTTTTAACACTTAATACACTCCAGTTAAAACCTTAAACAGACCATTTTTATCCCCAAACAATACAACCAGCATGTTGTATCCAGCACGTATTTAGATCATCCTTTTATTGTAGTCACCGTGGTACTGAACTGCCATGGTCTGTGTCACAGGTGACATTTCTCCACCTCCACGGTGCCCAAGTCTAACATTTCTCACTCAACGCTTGTTCTCACCCGAGTCACAGATCCGTGACTCTCTTCTTGACCACAGCCATTCTTTTCACGCCTCAGTGGAGCATTCCTTCCTATTCCTCCTTGATTTGCTTAATAAAAAACCTTTGATTGCATGCCTACAGAAATACCTGCAGGCTCTTCTGCATAAGGTTCCAAGTATGGCATGTGCGTTTATACAAAGCTTTTAAGAATTATATCTCACTATTACAATGGAAACTATCCACGCACAATGATGCCCAACACTAGCGCACATGTTTTATTCCAACTACTGTACATTTCCTTCTGCAGTCACTGCAAAGACCACAAGTGGGGGTTCCCCAGGGAGATGCCATGTGGGAAATCGATCTTCTACTGTGAGGACATGGCCAAGCAGGAGGGGGCCCCCCAGGGGCCGCTCAGTGAACAGGGTCACACGGAACCCCAGCCCGTGACTGCGAGCGGAGGGGACCGGCAGCACACAGCTGGAGAACAGGAGTGCACTGGGACTGGCGGGCCTCCCGTGCCACCGGGCACTGGCTCTGAGCTCCCCGGCGGGCCGTCGACACCAGAGACAGGAGAGCTGCCCTCCGGACGTCAGTGGAGCCCCAGGGCACACCCCCCGGCCCGGAGCAGGCCTGGTGCCAGACCCAGCAGGGAGGTGAAGAGGGACGTGCAGCTGCCGCAGCAGCAGGAGGAGAAGCAGGACGGGCACAGGGCCTCCCGGGAGAGGCCAGCAGTGAAGGAGGAAGGTGGGCCAGGTGTGCCAGGTGGGCCAGGTGTGCCAGCTGCAGGGCCTGCACATGCTCTGTGAGCCGCCCTGCTGGCGGCTTGCTGACGTGGCTCTCTGATCTGCACTGTGTAACGCACTTTGACAGAAGCACAGAGAGACGGCCTGTTCCAATTTCAAAGTCATGAAAAGAGAACAATTCAAGCAGCTGTCTATCCACAGCACTGTGGAAAACTAGATTAGATTACAAAACAAATTCCAGTGTTTATGATTTTTATTATTACTACAAGTAAGACTGGCTGCTGGCGATGCATATTAGCAGTGCATGTAATATTTAAAATGATTGAAATCGGGCATACATATTCATTAAACTTGAGAAAAAAAAACTTACAACTGCTCTCAGATAACCCCACTCTTCCAGATTAATTATCAGTGATTTTAAATCTAGCAAAATTACTCTCACAAAGATCCTACATTACATAATAAAAAATACCAATGTTTTCTGTGACTCCTTCACAGATCTCTCTGTTAGAAATTTCAGGTGACACTCACAGCCTAATACGCACAATTAAACTGCAGCACTCTTGGTTTTGCTTAAGCAGGAAAGAATAATCTACCAGAAAAGACAAATCCAGCAAAAACAGAATTATAGTATGTTCCAAAACACTGTAAAAGTGCTTTTATCCTGACTGGCCTATTTCCTTTCTATAATGAAAACAATACCATTCCTCACTTGAACGCATCACAGAAATGATCAAGTGCACATTTCTGCTCAGTAAACTGGAAGCATTAAAAGACTAGAACAATGATGTGAACAAGAAAATCATTACTTCTGGCTGTTAGGTAGAGAATTACAGACCTCGGTCTAAGCAAATGAAATGCTTTCTATTAGTTTCTCAGCAGCTGGGTAAATAGGATCTAGAGTTTCCTTGTATTTGCCTAATGACTAGCTTGACAAAGACTAGAGCCCTCTGTACCAGAATAAAAGGATAATTGCACTCGCTAGGGCTCTTGGGTTTGTAAATACAATAATTCACTAACCAAGAGCAACCTGTGCTTCACCCAAAGATCAGACAAACGTGCAGAACACAACAGCAGGGTGCATCAGAGTCAGCAGTCCAGCAGCATGAAAATTCAATTTCTATGCTCAAGCGTTTGCAGAACTAGTTGTAATAAAGAGAGCCATGGACTGGAAATATGGGGATATGAAAAAATCCCATGCAGTTCTGCCAGGGAGGTCACACACTATGAAATTCTGATCCTGCACCGCAGCACACAGTGCCCCAATCACAGGGCCACTGAGCGTCGCAGTGAAAGCCACCTTTGTGCTTCTCTGTTGAAAAAATAAAGAAATTCATTTTAACAAAAACAAAGCATGAAAGCGGCCACGCCACGCCTTCAGGATCGCATTTCACCCGTCTGAAGCCGGTGTGACATGGTGCCGCTTTGCCAGCCCCCACCTCCAGGTGTTGTAAAAAGGAAACAAAGGGAAAAAATGCGCTTGTGCTTCCCAGAAGCCCGTGTGAAGCAGGAAACAGAATTCCTGTCAGAGTGAGGCCCCTGCTCCGGGCCAGCCCCGTCAGTTCCAGGCACACTCCCGGGAAAGAGAGCCAGCTCTGCGTCCCACTGTCAGTCTAGCCTCGTGAGCAATACTCGATAGGCACCTGCTGCTTTTAGGTTTGAAGTGAAAGGGACTACGCCCCCCTTTCTCCCGCCCACATCAGCGCCCACGCTCAGAGCAGGCTGGGTTTCTCCCCTGTCGTCCTTCAGGGCAGGACAGGGAGTTTAGGTGGTGCTCAAGTGATAACCGGACTTTCCTGTTCGCATTAGAGAATTATCACAGGGCTGATAATGAACCAAAGTAATCCTGCGATGAGGCAGAGTAACTACTGACAGCATTCAGCCTGATGGATCAGCTCTCCAAACTGGCTCTGGTTGGATAACAGGTTATCAGCCCAGCACAGCCAGAATCTACATCATCCTGGGACGCAGTGAAGTTCAAAACATAACTGCTAGTAGGTTAAAATAAGCTCAGACAACCTGCTTTCCCACAGCTTGGCTCATCCACTTAATTTTTAAGATAATATTGTAGATTCCAGCAAAGGTGTTCCTGTAAATATCCCACTGCTGCATAGCATCTGGTTATATCCCTATAAAAACCTGTCAAACGTGTTTGCAGCAAATCAAGCTTAGCTTTCTGAATTGACCTTAAAAAGTCTGACAAACCAAGTGATATTATAGAGCTCCAAACTCACTATCATTGAGACAGGGTTAAACTCCAGTGCACATCGATCTTCTAAAAGCTGGTTCATTCTCTTTAAACTGTCAAATAATTCTGGCAAGACTGGGGGTGTGTTGAATTAATGGGAAGCTTACATTTATACAGCGCACATTAGGACAAAGCAAATAGGTATGAGACTGCATTAAAAAGCTATATGCTAGCTGGACATTGTACACAAAACAGAAAAGATGGAGCTAACCTCTGCCTCTGACAGAACCTTCTCAGTATCATTACAGTTCCTGTTTCCATAAATTACCAACAGAGGTCTTGTGAGCATCAGCTATAAAGCCTGACTAATGCCAAGCAAACAGCAAACAGTTGGCTCTGCTTAGCAATGTACCACAACAGTGGCAAATGAGTCTGTTAGCAGTTAAATTCCTTCTGCAGTCTGCCCTCCCCCTGTCCTGGCAGCTGCCATGTTTGGGGGGAGAGTGTGAAGCTATAATCTGTGGTCACAGCATCTCTGGCGGGAATGCAGATGGGGGTGTGATCACAGGAGTCTGCAGGAGTGCACAGGAGATCACCTCTGATGATCCCCACACTTCAACATTAAGGGGGAGCTGCAGACCCAGTAATTAAATCTTGGTAACAAAATTAATTAATATAAAAAAAATACAAATTTTGAATTAAGCACAAAATCGAGAACTTTGTGAAAGTACTGTAAGTCGCCATGTTGTCGCAAACCCCTGGTCTTACCACAGGCGAGAGTGAGGGTTCCCACACATTGTGTTGGGGCCCTTCCTGCTCACTAGTCACTGTAGTAACTAACATGATACGATGGACCTGCGAATAAGTACAAATTGATACTTCAGCAGATACTTCACTGCAGAAAGTTTCCAACTTGATTTGCATAAAGAGTTAACAAGTAAGTTCCATTTATCAGCAAAACCGTCTCAACGTTCAGGGCGATATTTATTTTGGATTAAAAGAGATGTAATTACAAGTCTGCTTGTTTACAATATCACAGGGCCACAAGATATCAACAGAAGTTTTGTTGCCACGTTCTGAATTACAGAACATGGTGCTCAGCATACCTGGAGATTCGTGATGTAAAAGGGAGTTTTGACAAGTTACTGTGCACATTTGACTTTTATTGTGGTTTGAAATGCCCTCATCAGTGCTGATTCTTTCTAACCCCGAAATGTAAAAAAAGCTCTGCAGTTCCCCTTTAACAGCACAGCAGTTCCGGCATCTCCCCTGGGTAAACTTCCAGGGCAAGAAAAGCCTTTTAAGCAAAGAGAACGTCATTAAAGTTTGAAATTAGTCTCTAGCTTGTGCAAGTAATTCTAATTATTTCAGATCTGAAAACTCACACATTCAAATGCCTCTTGTTCAAAGACAAAGAATCTCATACTTGACTTGAGATGTTAATGATGCAGTGTGCAAAGTATGTCCGCTAACAAAATACTAAAGAAAACGATTTAAGGCACCAACAACACTTTCACTGTCCTTCCACACAAACCAAGCAGGCGGTACCTGATGCGAGCTCCTTGCAACAGATAAGCAGTGAAACACTAACATGTGGGTCTCTCTGTGTGTTGCCAGTTAGCTGTCGGGACAGTGAGGGTTTGGACCGAGGAGAACAGGGCAGCAGCACAGCTTCCATTCCCAAACCCTGCCACTGCGACGCCTCCCACCAGCACTCCGACACGGAGCAGAGACTGGGGGATCCCAGAGGAACAGGGCCTTTCTACTACATCGGAGGAGGCAACGGGGTGGCAATGTGAGTACACTGCTGCTCCTCCTGCTGCTGACTTACTCTCGCACGGGTCTGCCGCCCCACCTGCTGTAGCTCCCCATCAAAACCTCCAGCCTGGTTTCTCCGTCTCGAAGTCTGTGAACTCTAAACTCAAGAGCACCACAGAGGGAGAAGAATTAAATCTCAGTCTAGAGTCAGCCCTGACACGGACATGGACGACAACACACTGATCCTCTGCTCTTTCAAAGCACACATCTTCATACACACTGCTGGCAGAGTAAGAACAGCAGGCAAGTTTAAAGGAAGTAGCCTGGAATAAAGGGAAACAGTGCCCCCTGCGGGCTCCCAACACAACCTGCAGCCAGGTCTATTGAGTAACAGCAGGGCTCCCTGTCAGACCCGACTGCTCTGAGACAGGCAGGAGGTAGCGGCAGCCGTTTCTTTGATGAGATTGCTGCTATACCTCAGACAAGGCACAACACCTCAGGTAAATAAAGTGCCACACACATTGTATTCCGTATTCGTCCATTCATTTCCATTCTATTTTTATTGACAAACTCCACCAAAATGACACTGCACACAGTGAAAACAGACTGTTCTTAACAGTTTTAGGTTTAAAAGATGCTATTGGGTGAATAATGCACATCACTGTCACTGTGGGGGTCTCCCCACATTGTCTGTTTGCCAAGAGGTACCTTCTCAATTTGACTCCTGTAACAAAGGTTAACATCGCTCCTGACCTGCAATGTTTAAGCAGACTTTTATTGCTGTGTAGTTCATACAAAAAAAAAAAGCTGTAATGACTGAGGATTTTTAAAGCCTTAAAAAAAATTAAGCTATGGATAATTTCATCAGCCAAACCAAATGTATCCATCTAGTCATTTTTTTCAAGTTAACATCACAACCTCTGTCTGTACATGAGGAAAGATGGCCTGTACACCTGCCTGAGCTTGGCGCCAGAGGTCACATGCTCACAGGTGAGCGTGGTCTTGTCTCGATGCAGAGTGAGGGCGTACTGCGAGGGCAGAGGCTGGCAGCGCGTCTGCGACAAGACCAGGGAGGATTACACACTGAGGTGGTGCGAGACCAAGTCGCACTCTGCCTACTGCAGATTCAGGGAAGGTACGGTGGGCCGCTGTCATTTCATCCTGTGCCTCTCGTTAACTAACAACACTCTGACAACAGCCCTTCCTCCGGCCAGCACGACGGCTGATTTTTAGCTTTTTGAAAGCTGGCTGGATACCACAATCACACTTGAAATTGCAGTGCACCTTTTCTTGAGAACGAAAGGAAAAATCAGAGCTGTAAAAGACTTTTGTGGCATTAAGCACAGTGAGCCAGCTCAGTGATGCACTAGGACTCTCAATGGGCTACACCTCCCAGAGCGATGGGAGCAGCCCTCCCGGCTGCGTGCGCACGACCCCCCAGTGCCTCCTCTCTCCCGCACAGGGGAGCAGCTGCTCTATCAGGTCCCCAACAACAAGGTGCTGACCACCAAGATCGGGCTCCTGAGCAGCTTGCGGGAGTACGAGAGGGTCGCCAGCAAGGTCAAGCCAGGCCGGGGTCACAGGTCAGTGTGGGGGAACCGTCACCCCAATCACAGCGAAGGTCGGCTGGAATTACAGCTACAGTCCCAGCAGCAGCAGTGATAGTTAAAAAGGCAATCGCGCCAAGCTAGATTTTGTTTAATTATAATTGCAGTTCCAATTACATGAAATTATTGACTTACACTAAAAAGTCATCCGTCCTTTGATGTAGATTAGTATGAACCCCACAGAGCTGCTAATGGAAGTATTGGCCTCCTGTCTCTTAAATAGGTTTATACATTAGAATATCTGATCTCCCACTTGCTTGGAGGAAATATCCCAAAATGCAGCAGACATATCAGTAAAAAATCTGTCGTATCATTTCAGTGTTCCTACTCAACTAGGTAAATGTTTTTGACACAAGGTGCCAAATGCAGCACTCCAGTAGTTAATTGTATATTTAATTACCTCCCCTATAAATCACAGCATGGAAGTGCATTACATCGACTGTGCTAATTCCCATCTCTCCTAGTACAGTAGCATTAACATGGG